GCGTGCGGAGTGGCCGTCTGGAGTGGCCGTCTCTGGGGCAGGTCGTCCTGCTCTGTCCTCGAGGGCCACCAGGGGCCAGAACTGACCTACTGGCAACGGGATGGCTTTTGTTGTTTTGGTGGTACTCACACCTCCCGTCCCTCCCTGGCTCGAGGCAGCCCTGAGCTGGGCAGGGTGGGTGGCCCCTCTCTGGACATTGGGGAAGGGGCTTGGCCACCCTTACACTGTCCCCTTCGGGAGCTGCAGACTTGAGGGAGGGGCCACCCACCTGCACTGCACTTCTGGCCCCCAGCCCTCCCTGGAGCTCTTGAGCAGCCCCACCTAGGCAGCTCTGCTGGGTGGAGAAGCAGGTGAGGAGGGGTGGAGGTTGGGGTCTGCAGCCGGTGGCTGGGGGACACAGTGTTGTGGCTGGGTTTGGGGCAGCCACCTCCGTGCGCTTCACCCCTTGTTTCCCCAACTCTGACCTGGGCCTTTGGCAGGGGCCGCAGACATGGTGCCTGGGGGACACAGTGCTGGAGGGGAGCACTATGCAGGATGTGCTGTTCGGCGTGGGGGTGCAGGGCATGGTGCCTGGGGGACACAGTGTTGGAGGGGAGCACTATGCAGGATGTGCTGTTCGGCGTGGGGGTGCAGGGCATGGTGCCTGGGGGACATTGTATTTGGGAGGACGCGGTGTTTGGGGGGCATGGTATTTCAGGCTTCATTAGGGGGAGCCCGATGGCTCAGTGGGTGACACACTGAGCTACTCACCCCAAGGTCGGCAGTTCGAAACCACCAGCCACTCCTGAGGAGAAAGATCAGGCTCTACTCCGTCAGGAGTGAAGTCCTGGAACCCACTGGGATGGGTTCTACCCTGTCCTGTAGGGTCGCTGTGGCTCAGCCCCCGACTTGGTAGCAGGGAGAGTAGGGCGGTTTCCAGTGGGGCTTGGGGAGCTGGGTCCAGCCCTGGGTCAGTCAGAGGTCAGGGGCCGGGCCATCTGCCCACAACTATCACCACCTCCCCCACCCAGTCCTCTAGTGCAGAAGGGCCAACCCTTCCCGTCCTCTGTGCTTGGGGAGGAGCAGAACTGGCTGGGTTCCCAGGGTCTCCCCCTCCCCCAGCTGGCCCCAGTCCCTGACCCCACATGGGCCGCAGCCAAGGCTAGGGCCCCAGGGAGAAGCCCCAGCAAAGCCAAGTAGGGGCGGGGGGGTCACCCGAGTCACACCAGGCGGCCTGGGACATGGCGGGGCACCTGTGAGAGGCACCCCCACCCCAGCCCACCCTGTGCCCACTCCATCCACTCTTCACTGGAGGCGGTCGGCCTGCCTGTGTGGACTCAGGAAGGGAAGGGAGTGGGTCAGGGGAGAGAGGGAGGAGGCAGAGTGGGGGAGGAGCAGGAGAAAATGGGGGAGTCCAAGCTGAAGGAGACAGTTGTGGGGCAGGGGGTGGTGTCGCAGGGTAGGAGATGCTGGGGATAAAGCAGAAGGGGGTGGGGTCAGCGGTTGCTGGCCTCAGGCGGAGCTGCGGCCCCTCCAAACCCTGGGCAGGTGGTGTGGGCAGCGGGTGGGGGGTGGCGCATCCAGGCCTGTCCCCTTGGGCCCTTGGGGCCCCCCTCTGCATCCCCAGTCCTGGCTGGGGGCCTGGAAAGCGGCCGCAGGGCCTGCGGTGCCCACTCTACAGGCCGGGCTGCGTATCCCACGGGGATCCCTAGGCTTGGGAGCTGGACTAGTGAGGGTGCACCTGGCCAGGGGGAGGGCAGCCCTGCTCCCTGCACGGCATTTGCTCAGGATTAGAGGGTGCTGGAGCGACATCCACGCCTGCCTCCACGCAGGCCGGGTGGGCACCGGCCAGAGGTGACAGTGGCCAAAGACAAACACGGGCCCTCCCTTCCCTCCAGGAACCTCGGTGTTGACTCAGCACCGGCGGGCTGGGCGCCGAGGGGAGCCGGGGGGCCCATGGGCACAGAAGGCCAGATTGGTGCCCAGCGCCCAGCCAGGGGGACAGCCCATCTGGCCATCCTGCCCCCACCCCCTCACAGTCCTGGGTGTGGCCACCGTGTGGCGGGTCAGAGCTGCCTCTGGCCCGTCAGTGCTCAGGGACGGGTGGGCCTGCACAGCGGGCAGCAGGAACCCACATGGAGGGTGAGGCGGTGGTCCCGCCCTGGCCTCATCGAGGGAGGAAGCATCCGCCGGCTTGGATGGTCTCTGCCTGCTTCCCCAGGTCATCCCACACCCACCCCATCCCCACCTTCGGGCACCCTGCACCTCGGGGGTGCTTCTCGCTGGCCCAGAAGGTTGTGGGTCTGCTGGCCTGTCATGGTGGCCGAGCAGATGCTAGGGGAAGAGACGACCCAGGCCTATGTCCAGCGAGCGGCCACTTCTCTCATGGAGCTGCCGGGGCAAGGGGGCAGCCAGTGGCCGGCCCAGAGTTGGGTGGAGCCATCTGGAAGGGGCCTCCCTGGAGAGAGAGTCCTGGCTTTCCCCACCAACACCATAGCCTGGGGACCGTCCCCTCTGACATGCCCTGGGGGTAGGCAAGTCAGCAAACTGGGGGAGAGGACCCTGCAGTTAGGACCTCACTGGGGGCCGAGGGAGAGGGGCCACTCCTGACAGGGACATGAAGTGGTCCGTGGTCTCATAGGCTAATCTCCACCCAGAGGGAGGGTGATAAGAACAACCCCCCCCCCATCTGCCAGGGTACACCCTCCCTGCTGGGGCTCACCCATCCATCAGACAGACCCCCCAAGGTAAGGGGGCTGTCCTTGGAGGAGAGGTGGGCCCCGTAAAAGGGCTCCTGGCCTCCCGGCTCACGGACTTCAGAGGCACTGGGTGCTCACTGGGGAACCCTGGTGGAGTAGTGGCTCCTCACTGGGCTGCGGTCCGCAGGGCGGCCCGTTAGGAACCAGCTGCTGCAGCCCAGGAGAAAGACGGGCTTTCTGCGCGTGCGGAGTGGCCGTC